TGCTAAGTAACGGGGGCCTTCCCAGACACTGGCGTTACCGCTTGACCAAGGTGCCCTCAAGCGGCCCTTATGCGGGCGTGACAGAGGGCTCACCTCTTGCCTTCTAGGTCACTTCTCACCATGTCCCTTCAGCACCTGACCCTATACCCGCCGCTTAATCCTAGGTTATATCAGTAATGCAACAAAGAGTAATATTAAAAGCGAATGATTAATAATGTTTATAATGATTGATAATTGTCCATGATCATCTCTATATCTAATTTGTATTATGACTACTTTTATCCTATTTTCTTTATTATACTGAAACAGTTTGTGCCTTCAGTCTCTTGCCTCGGCACCTAGGTAATCCTCTGCCCATACCAGAGGCCACTCCAGTCCTCAGTGCCCAGGCGGGCTGATACCATATGTCTTTAGCAGATGGGGAGACTGAGGCTGAGTCACCCATCTCATGGGGGCTGTTGCGGGAACGAACCACAGGCCTGTCTGTGCCAGAGGCAGGCACGAGACCGCACTCTGCAGTGCCAGGCTGGAGAAACGCCACAGCCTCACAGAGAGGGAGGTGTGGACGTGAGTCAGGAAAGGCGGACGCAGCCTTAGACGGGGCTTGCCTTTCCTGGGGGCCCTGCCTGTGCCCCCTCCCTCCCTCTCACTCACCATCCCCCTCTGTCCATCTGCCCATCATCTATCTGTACGACCTGTCATCTGTGTCTATGTGAACTGCCATCTCTATGTTTATCTATCATCAAGCAGTCTCCCTGTTCTCTACCTCTGTCATCTGTTTATCTGTCATCTGTGAATGATCCGTCACCACCATCATCTCTCTCCACCATCTACACATCTACCCTCTCCCCGCACTTCCCTCCCCTCCCTGTCCCACCCCCCAGTGTGTTTAACACCCCTCTCACTCCCACCTGCAACGTGGGCCACAGCTGTCCCAGCCCGTGCAGGACCCCTGTGGGCGAGGGGCCGCGTTTGTCCCAGCCCACGGAGGACAGCGGCCTGTGACCTCTGATGGGGTCACAGGAGGATGCAGCTTCTGCCTGGCCCCTCGCCCCTGCCCTGCCTCTCCATACACAGTGGGGGGCTGTGACTGTCCCAGTCAATGCAGGACCAACGTGGATGAGGGGCTGTGACTGTCCCAGGCCATGCAGAGTGGTGGCCTGTGACTTCTGACATGGGGTCACAGGAGGATGTGGCCTCTGCCTGGCCCCTCGCCCCTGCCCTGCCTCTCCATACGCAGCGGGGGGCTGTGACTGTCCCAGCCCATGCAGGACCAACGTGGATGAGGGGCTGTGACTGTCCCAGGCCATGCAGGGTCGTGGCCTGTGACTTCTGACATGGAGTCACAGGAGGATGCAGCTTCTGCCTGGCCTCTCGCCCCTGTCCCACCTCCATGTACACAGCCGGGCCCCCCTGCAGCCTCCACACTGCAGAGGTCACACGGACAGAGCCCAGGAACAGAGGCGCTGGGCCCAACCCTGCCCACCCAAGGGCTAGAACCCACCCATCGAGAGCAGAGCTCAGTGACTCCAGCCTCCTCACACCTGTGTGTGAACCACCCGGCTGAGCCCAGCCAGCCTCAGAGCCATAAGGGTGGGAGCCGGAAGATGCTGTGTGAGGCCCTGAGTTTGGGATGGCCTGTGACATAGTGACTAGTATCTGCACTGGTGGCCTCAGAGAATCCCAGCCCCCACCAGCCCCACGTCCAGGCCACTCCCCTCAAAGAGAGGCCTCCATGAAGCAGGATCCCCACCCCAGAGGACGCCCATGAGGGCTGGTGCTTCCCATGTCTGCCCTGAGAAGAGCTGGGACCCCAGGGAGGGTCTGTGGCTCTGCTGCCCAAAGGGCCGCTACCTGGACCATCCTGCCTGGTCCCTATCGCAGCCCCCACAGGTGGGTAGACCCCTGCCCCGCCCAGGCTCTGGCTCAGCCCCTGCAGCCCCTCACTGAACCCCACACTTCATAGGCACCTGTCCTGTGCTGCCCTGATCTGGGCCACATCTGGAAACTGAGCTGGCAGGGTTAGTGGGGGGTTGAGGGTGGTGGCAGGCAGGTGGCCGTGGGGCAGATGGTGGGAAGGGGCTGCCCAGTCAGGAAGGCCTGGGGCTTCAGGACGCACGACCCTGGCTCCAGCCTGTGGCTCCTGGAGCAAAGGTCTAGCTGCACAAACTACCGTCCCTGCCCCAGCTGACAGCTATGCACCTGGCTCTGCCTCTGCAGGTGACCCTCAAGGGTGCCATGGTGCTGCTGCTGTCCGTCCATCAGGGGCCACCCCCACCACAGCGCTTCTGCTTCCTCGAAGGTCACACAGCCCCTGCAGGCTAAGGGGGGGTGGGCACTGTCTGGCCCTGTCTGGCGGGCAGCCCCACAGACTAACCCCGGTGCCCCCAGTCATGACCCCAGCTCCCCTGCTCTTCAGAGTGGACGAGTAGGCCGCCAGCCTCCCCTCTGAGCGCGGACACCTGTCGAGGTG